CGCCACTTGTGTCACTTACATGTTTTATTTCGTTTCCTTCTATAATTCCCTTCCCCGTCGGGGCACTTACTTGGATTTTTTACTCTCAGCCTTCACTGTTTCACTCTGTCTTTCATCCATGTCATACCGAATCTTGAGTCACTGTTCTAGTAATATAAAAGCCACTGGGAGCTCGGTCATCATCGAATCAAGGCCCCATTGTGTTGGGGGACCTCCTCTCCGCCGTTTTCAATTTCTTTCTTTAGCCTTCAAATTCTAATATTTAGCTTATCGTTCATTCCTGCTGCCAGCGTGCGACAAGCCTTCACGGTGTCACCTTCAAGACTTTCCGCTGCACATTTTAGTGACTATGCCAGCAGGAGTGTCGACGGTCTCCAGTAAATTGTAATTGGCGGAATGTTCGGTTAAGTATCACTTGTATGTATACATGTACTTTTCTCAACGTCGGTCCACTCGCCAACTTGTGACGTGGTTTTAGTGGGCAGCTAAATCAATGCCCTGCGCCTGGATGTTGGCTAAATATATCCTTTCCTCGTCCAGAATCAGGAGTCCAGATGCTGTGAAGATCATCTCAGCGCTCGTGCTGTTCAAAAAGAACTTTCCAATAAGGGTGCCCTCCGAGTTCCACACATGAGTTCCATCTCCACACCCCTGAGTACACGTTGCCATTGGTGTCCAGTTGAATGCCGTCCGGAATACCGGAATCGCTGTATAGCAAATACACGACGGTTCGTAAACGATTGGGTGATTGGGTCCACGTCATACTGGTAGCTGTATGGTGAAAAGTAAGGAACAGTGACCGGGAATAGATCAATGCAAAAAACTTGCATTGTAGCGGGATACGTCTGGTTGTATCCCCATAAACCACTGTTGAGGCCCGTATCGGTTCTGAAGATTCGGTGGTATATGATCAAAGCAAGAAAATCAATTCCATCCTTACACAAATGCAGTTCTGCCATCTGAGGTGAAAGCGATTCCATTTGGGAGTATGAACTGGTCCGCGACAACTCGGATTTGTCCAGTCGAGGGATCGAAGCGATACACTTGGGAAGGTAGCATTGGTTCAGGACGGAATTCATACAACCAGCCGTATCTATGACTCTATTCGTCATCGCGGGGAACATACAATGTAACCTTGCGACACTTACGTGGGGTCTGTGAAAAAGACGATGTCGGTGCCAGGCAGTACCTTGATATCATTCAGTGAGTTGAATTGTCTGCCATAGAAGTTGTCTAGCAGAACGGTCGTATTGTATGGCGGGTTGGGGTCCTACAAGCACAACCGAAGGAGGCAAAAGCGCAGCGTCCTGACGTGACGAACAAAAGGTTTCCCTTGTAAGGTCCCGTGCCGCCATTGACCATCTGCACCGTGTCAGAAAGGTTTAGCTGGAGAGCATGAGTGATCTTCGTCTGGTATTCACTGTAATCGTACCTACCGTCTGGATTTGAACATTAACATCGCCAGTAGTGGCGGCAAGTGCATTATCGACCTCCGTCATGTTCAGCATCGAGACGACACTGTTATTGTACCAGTCACTGTATCCTAGGGGGGCTCCATCGTTACTGGAGAAGAAAACGACGTTAAGGTCTGGGACATAGATCGGCGCCTCGTGAGCAACGGCAAAGCCAGGACGTGACGCAACAAGTCGGATAGTTGCGTTCGATCCTGTTACATCGAGGAAGGACGAATCAAATATTTGGATGAAGGGTGGGGTCGTGTTCGTGGGATTGAATCCCACTATATAAGAGTCGTTTGTGCGCCACTTGAGAGTAGTCTGCACCAACGACATTGTATTCGAGAGGGTTGGCGGACTGAGTTCCAACTTCATGAGCATCCTCTCTGGCGAACTTTGGTGGAGAACATACCACTGCACCAGGGGGTAAAGTGAGATCCCGCGGGGAGTTAGCAGACGTCTCAATTGACGCCAATGCTGCAGTAGCGATTGTCAGTACAGCAAAGTGTAACGTAACCATCGTTTGGGTAACACGCAAGAAATTTCCCTAGCAGGCCCGGAACTGGGCAGTCAGTAGCACCAAAGGTATTGGACGCACCTCTCGAAACATCACCGTTGTTTAACTAGTACAGTGGCATATTTTTGCTCTCGGGATCGGGCAGCCGCCTAGAAAACTTCACCAGTTTCGAGTCGCCTGACCTCTGCTCACTGAGAGCCATTCCGACAGGCTCGACCCCAACAGGAACGTTTCACAAGCGTAGCAATATATTTGGAAGGCTTCATTCTGTTCGAAGTCAGTCACCTGATATATCTAACTCCACAAAGTGAAGGAGGGTATTCATGCAAGGCGACTCGTGGGACTATCTTACGTTAACATATTTGAACTCTCGTTACTTTCTCACGCCTCGGTCCAATCGCAACCACCCCTCACGCGCCAGTACTATTCCTATTGATACACTCTGGACGCAAAGTCGTATAGAGGTGGCAAGTGGGCGGGCGGGCGGGCCGTGAGTTTTGTTGTGATATTTGTCAATTGATTGGTCCGTGAAGTGTGAATGTAAGATTGTTTACTAGTAAGGACTCGGGGACTTGGTGCACGCGCGCCGCTACCGATCCAAGTATGCACGTAGGAAAACGGATCATGGCTGAAGCGCTGAAGGTCTAGTTGAAAGTCGTATTTGCCTTTATTTACATTCAGATGGCCTGCCAAAACTACCTATGATCGACAAGGCTTGAGCGCTTGAGCTTGAACGTAGAAAGGGTAATTTCGCACTCCGGACAAGATTCACAAGTTCGTGTTAGAGTTCCGGAATCCAACTGCTAGTAATACTACACCGTAATCAATAGCCTTACATTTCACTGCTATTCTGATTCAAAGGCGAGGCAGCTGGTTCCTAGCTGACGACCAAGTCAATACCCTCGGCTTCGATGTTGGCCAAGTATATATATTCCTCCGCGAAAATAAGAAGCCCTGACTTTGTGAAGATCATCTCAGCAACCGTGGTGTCGATGAAGAACTTCCCGATAAGGGTGCCGTTTGAGTTCCACACCTGGACTCCATCCCCGCACCCCGAATACACGTTGCCATTCGTGTCAAGTTGGATACCGTCGGGGATGCCAGCATCGGCATAAGCAAAGACGCAGCGGTTTTCGAACGACTGAGTCACCGGATCCACGTCATACTGGTAACTATGCATTGTAGAGTCAGGGCAAACGAGCAATGCAGCGTTCACGGAAGCTCACATGGTAGCGGGATAAGTCGCGTTATATCCCAAGAAGCCACCGGCTGCCCCCGAGTCTATCCTGAAGAATCCATTAGTCGATCACCGCGGGATGTTCCGAGTCAGAAAATCGGTGTCCTACTTACACAAATGCAGTACCGCCATCTGAAGTAAAGGCAATTCCATTTGGATTCACAAATTCATCGGCAACAACTCGGACTTGACCAGTGGATGGATCGAAGCGGTACACCTGGGAGGGTAACTTTGGTTCAGGTCGGAATCTGTTCAACCAGCCGTATCTACCAACAGTAAGTCACTCTTGCTTGTCTCTTGTTCCATCGAATATGGCTTACGTGGGATCCGTGAAATACATGATGTCAGTTCCAGGAAGTACTTTGATGTCGTTGAGTGAGTTGAACTGCCGGCCAAAGAAGTTGTCCAACAGGACGGTTGCATTGTACGGCGAGTTGGGGTCCACAAGTACAATTGAAGGAGGCAAAAGCGCCCGCCCTGAGGTAACGAACAGAAGGTTTCCCTTATAAGGACCTGTGCCTCCATTGACCATTTGCACCGTGTCAGAAAGGTTCAGCTACATGAAATGTGTAATTTCTCTCCGTACTTCACTAGGGTGAACCACACACCGTCTGGATTGGTACGTTAACGTCACCCGTAGTGTCGGCGATGGCCTCATCGACTTCGGTCATGTTTACCATCGAGACAACGCTGTTATTGTACCAGTTACTGTACCCTAGAGTCCCGCCGTCGTTACTGGCGAAGAACACGGCATTGAGACCGGGGTCATAGATCGGTGCTTCATGAGCTACGGCAAAACCAGGGTGCGACGCAACAAGTCGAATAGTTGCGTTCAACCCCGTTATGTCGAGGAATGACTGATCAAAAAATTGGATGAAGGGAGGGGTGGTGTTCGTGGGATTGAACCCCACTGAATTGGAGTCGTTTGTGCGCCATTGTGAGTAGTCCGCACCAACGACATTGTAATCGAGGGGGTTGATATACTGGGTTTGTTAGCATACTTTTCATTCGAACCTCGGTAGGAGAACGTACCACAGCACCATCAGGCAAAGTGATATCGAGAGAGCGGGGAGCCGTCAAGGCTGATGCCGCCGCCGCGGAGTTAGCGACTATCAAAAAAATCTGCGCTAACGCAAACATCGTAGGGTGTGTATTGACAGAACTAGACTGTTGCTTCGTCCTTGCGGTCACCTAAATAGCGAATGGGACTCGTAGTCCTGTTTCAACCTCCTATTTATATATCCTTCGGGAGGCCGTAAGTTCTGTATCACTAAAATTGGTCAAACTCCGCTGACGCCCGACAAGGCAGAATCATCATCGCGACTCGCGGCATTCCTCAGCGACGCGACAACATGCGCTATACGTCGTTCGTGCCGGTCACAAAGTCAGCTGAGCTTGAAATGTCAGATCTCACCGGCACCAGCGACGCAGCGGACATAGAGCCGTAATGATGTCAATAACTATCTATTCAGTACGCTCGGAGCCCAGCAGCATTATCTGCGGACCAACTCTTCTCTTTGGAAAAGTCTTGCGGAAGGGCTCTCTGGAAGAATTTATCAGGTGCTCCCATAGTTCTGTCGGAATCAGTGCAGTGAGTCTGATGAGCGCAAATGAAACGTCATACCAACGCTTACTCGGAGTTGGGGATCATTGATTCAGAACTTCTTTCAGCGTCCGATGCTCACAATGACCACATTCTTTTTGAAAAAGGGAATGAACGCTTGCAAACCTATTAGTGGGCCTTCGTCGTACGATCAAGTCCCTTCAAGGTCGCCAAACAGTCACGGCCACCGCCCGCCTAGCTCAATCGGATAGAGCGTCAGACTCTTACAAAAGCTAGGCAATCTGAAGGCTGCGAGTTCGACCCTCGCGGTGGGCTAGTGTTTTTGCTTATTTGCTTCTTTTTTTTCGTGACTCGGATGGCATTGGTTGAACTCTCAAGATGGGCCATCATGGTGATGTCACATAATCATTGATCCATTCGATTCACAATCTTTCTGTGGTGGCCCCTGGCGAGAATTTTGGATATTCCCGTTCATCCCGTTCAATTACGATCGGACGGATACAACCAAGCTGCACTTCCCATCGTCCTATAGTGCGGCTTCTCGTGGCTAGAGAGCAACAACCCTGGTAGCTGGTGCGATCAGTAATCATGTTTCAGATTTCTCATCTGCCGGTGACAAAATGAAGACTAGTACCGAGTATCAAGGTTCAAGTGTATAACCCGGCCCGGACATACTTCGTTCACTGGCAACAGCTTGATCCCTCTAGGCTTCATTTTGATCGCTATCCATGTGGTACTCAGCCTGGCCCTCATGGTTATTAGACGATTCCATGTTTGACAGGTCCCCTGATCGAGAAGGCTTACATCAGTATCAGTACAGTATTACCTCCACAAAGACGAATGGGTGATGTATCCCCTTACACCGGGGTTGTGGTCGTATCCTTTCCAATTCCTGGTTGCTCACCAAAAGGACATGACTGCATTCCGAAACAGCACACATCCCTACTCACCGCATTCCCATCCCAATGCCCATCGGCATGTGATCACTGCCAAGTTCGCATCGATAATCAGTTCCCGTCCCCCCTTCTTCGCGTAGGTTCCTCGCACGTTTGCTCCCATGGAACACGTTCGAAGACCGCGACATATGCGCTGGCGTATGCTTGGCTCGGATCAATCCAACCGTACGTTCATTCGCTGCATGCACGCAAAAACCCAGACAAATCAATCACACGTCTCCTGCCCAATGGTACTGGCATAAGACCAGGTTCTCACCGCGTCCGAAACCGAACGTGTGTCCAAGAGGTGGACACGTTTTCTCTGATCAAAATGTCAGATTCTGGCATGAACCAATGACCATGTGAGAAATCAAGTCGACCTTTGGCTAGACCCCAAAGCCTCATTAGTAAACGTCGCGTCGCATAACCGCGGCGTTCGTCCCCACAGCGCCAAACTTCGAAATCAGACCTTCCCCTTCGAGGTCGTTTCTCCTCGTGACTTTACCCTGACCCTTGCGTTGGGACCGCGCTCGAGCCCTCACCTCAGCCGAGTCAGCTCGAACTAGTATAACCCGTGTTTGAATCCCCAGGCTTCCCGGGAAAACTCCGACGAAGTCGACTGCGGCCGCAACCATGCCAAGTAGCAATTTGGAACCCTGGCAGTGTGTGAAAACGTTGCCCCCGGAGTTGTCCGAGCTTCTAGAAAACAAAAACTGCAGGCTTTGCGCTTGTGCGAGCGAGCAGGCAACCGAAGAGCGCCATCTGCTGAGATGCGCACCCCTCTTTGGACATGCAGGAATGCACACAATCTGAGTTCAAGGATATCTACATCAGCGATGATAATCAAGCACTGATCTTTACAGATGCCCTTGTGCGCAATTGATCCCTACCAACCCATGGAGATAGACAAGTACGGTAAACCCTAAAAACACATATTTCCCGATAAAGATTCCTATGGAAGAAAAGTAGCAAGAGGAGAAGATAAGCACAAATAACGAATCCAAGTGCACGCATGTATGAATGAAATTGTAATGAGCCCATGCATAATCACATACCCTATCTCACAACTGGTCGGCCGCAAACCAAACGAAAGAGAGTATCATGGAGAAGAAAAAACAGAGAGATCTACGCCGCCATCGCAAATAAACAGATGAATAAGAGGTTGTTCTTTTTGTGCTCCCGATGAACGTCACTGACATGAAGAGAGCGGAGAATGGATGAGATGCAAGTAGGTATGAGTGGACGAACGTGATAACGTCGCGCGTGGTGATGCATGATGGTGATGTGATGATGAGAGAGGGTGAGTGTAAACAAGAACATACGGGCGGAGATGAGATGAACTGGAAAATGATCGTGGTGGGATTAACCATGGGACCTAGACCTGCGAGGCATCCACACTGAAACAGAGAAACCAAGGCGACAAGCGGAGAGGAGGGCACCACTTCAGACCAATTACCTTCAAAACCGGACCTCCTCCGCATCCCAGACCTCTGGGAATGGATACCACATCGCAGGAAATTGACAAAGCCTCATTTCGTCTCCTTCACTTCTGCATATCGCGTAATCAAGCCACGCGTCTTGATACCGATGCGTGCCAGTGCGCTTGCGATACTCGAACCCTACTCGGCGAAGCGATTTGAGACCATGTGCAAAAAATGCGGCGGATTCTTGGCGTACGACACGCCACGATTCCATGTCGTCTATCTCGTCATATTCAGGGAATTGAATGCAAAGGCGTAGGTCGCGGAGTGAGCAGAGCGAGGAAAGCGCTTCTAGATATTCCTGCTGCGCGCGACGAAAAATGAAAGCAACGTTTCTAGGGTCAGCATCCTGTTCCAATCACCGCAATCAAAAGAAGGATATAATGGCAATACCCGGGAGTAGACGGGTGGGAAATTGGTAACGAGGGAAGACAGAAGGGAGGAAAAGCGGGCGTACATAGGAAGACACTGATTTGCCATCGTGGTAGCCACACCGCTCGATTTCGAGGTATTCCAGTTGAGGGCAGTGTGTTGCGACCAAACGACATATGGCTGGTGTGAGCTTATCTTCGATGATAAGACGTAGATGTCTCAGAGGGCAATTGCTAGCGCCAATTTCTGCGAGTACGGCTTCGACTTGGGGTTGCGAGAGAGCAATAGGCCATCGCGGAAGATCGACCAGAGCCATGATGGCGAGTCGCCGGAGATTCGTCATGTAGTTAAAGACCCCCTCGAGAACGCAAGCATTCGAGATGGCAAAGCTGTCCAACGAGGCGAGCTTGGCGAGATTTTCGGGATTGGCGAGGACGTATGGATCGAGGAAACGGAACTCTTGTGCCTTCGATTGAGGGAAAAGTAGCCGAAAATCGCGCAAGACGGGCATCTTGTTTAGCACGTCAAACAATCCAGGGTTACGCTGAACTACAAGGGGTGCCGAGCCGAAGGGAAATGAGAGGTTAACGTGCGGGTTCGGGATTCGGCCGTGAAGGATGAAGGTCGATAGGGCGGGCCAGTCGATCGTGGCGAGGCCGGTGAAAGTAGTTAAATCACCTGATAGCTCCAGATGGGCAAGGATGGAGGCATGCTGGCGCAAAAATACTGCGGAGGACCGAATTTCCCTGTAACCTCGGAGGTTGGCCTGAGCCCTGTATTTTCTCCTCCAGTCACGCATGAAGTACGTGATCTCTGCGAATTTTGGATCTGTGGGGCCGTCGCCGATGCGTAGGGTCTGGCCCACGGGAGTGAGGTTGACCCGGCGGAGTGGTGCAGGGTAGAATTGCATGAGGCTCTGATCGATTGGAGTGTCGATCAATGTAAACGACGAGAGGGAACGACACTGGCCAAGGGCTTCGTAGAAGGTCTGAGGGGGAAGAAAAGGAGTGCTCAAAGTGACCTTGTTGAGGTTTGGCATGCGTATGACGGCGTGGACGGCGAGCTCCATGTGATATGGGCAATAAATACCCTCACGATCCAGATAGCCATAGCGAATACGGCCTGGCTCTGTCCACTCGTCATGCCAGTCGAGACGGAAGTGTCTTGTGTATTACGATAAGAAAAATAGAGGAGAGAGAAGAGGAGGATGTACCTGATATAGGGCCAAAGGGATTCGGGATAGAAGAGGAGGCCATTATCTCTGTCTGCCTTTGATTTCTGTGGCCATCGGACCTCGCCGAAGAGGAAGGGGAGACAAGCCTGGCGGACATGGCGAGAAGTGGTGGAAAGACTGAGGAGCGAAGGGGAAACGGCGTCTCTGCCTGTCGAGACGAGCTGGCTGATGACGAGAGGGAATATGTCTGCGATTAGAGACATGAGCTCGCTGTTCGCCAGGCTGAGAGCTATGAGTAAAGGTAAACCGAACAGTCGTCAGGCAAAGGGGATAGGTGACATCTGGGGGAGGGTCGTAAATAATATGTCGGTGCTGGGTCGCACTGCAGAACTCGATCCGTCAATTCACAAGCCTAGACCACGCCTAGACCCGACACATTCCCTTACGAAATCATAACACATCAAACTATAGTTATTACACTCATTGTGACGCATATTTCTCCGTCCATTCCCTGCTCACTCGCTGCGCATCCTTCTCGTTATCCTTGTAGTGCTTCGCAACATCCGTCGCAAGCGGGTCGTCCGGGTTCGGCGCACTCAGTAGCGCCTGTATCGACAACAGCACAGTTCGGATCTGCAGTGCCGGCGACCATTTATCTGTCCAATCATGATCATCGGTTGTGTCCGCGGAACGGTTCATTCCCTCCACCCACCCTTCAGGATATCCAAACAGATACGCCCCAGTTTATCTATAGAGCCGCCGTCGGGCATTATGTGAGCATGCGGGAAATGATAACGCCACATCACCCTCATGGCAACGCAGGCAATTGCACCCCATGAAGAGTTCCAGCCAACTCACCGATATTAGGATGGTATATCTTGGTCAGGAACCGTACTTTCGGCGGGCTCATAGGATACTCCTCGGGAAGGAACAGTTCCAAATGAAATACACCCTCTATCGCATCATCAGTGTGGGCGATGTGGACGTATGTGAGACCTAGCCACTCACGCTGGAAGGGGCTTCCATCAGGCCCTTGAATGGTCACATCAAAGTAACGCAGGTTGTCGTCGTGCGGCGCAGCCGTAATCCCTGGAGCGGGGTCTGCAACAAGGCGCTCGGTTTCCTACCCATGCGCATCCGTGCACACGGCAGTGCACGAAGTCAGCGATGTGGGTGACACGATGTCGACATGCTGTCAAAAATTACCTTGATGATTCGCTGGATCAACCGTCCACAGACTCATAAGAGCGCTGTAAAACCACGAAGAACGTAATACACACCTTCGGTAGGGCCATATGTAGGGCGTAAACGAGTGTCGTGCGTGGCAGATGTACAGCGATGGTCAAAGCGGTG